CTCTCTGAGCCCATCAGGAGGTTTCCACACACAAGGGTCAGCTCTATGTATCCTTCGATAACCTGCAACAGGGGGAATAAAACCCTAAGTACTCGATTGTACTCAGCAAGACTTACCCGACACGAGAAAAACAAAATACTCTAAGGATATGCAAGGCTTATTTGGCTTGTGGGTTATTGCATCTACGGAAGCATTACTAAATGTGCATCCTTATATTAAATTTTATTAGCAGTCATCATTAGCTCATTAACTATCCATTCTATGTAAGCTCCTATGCTACTTTCAAGCAGGTGCTAGACCATAGCCAAGTCGGTACCGTCTCACAGAAACAATGATTCGCGAATCAATGTATCCCAGCTGGGTACCCCAAAACACATGCCCCGTTTGTACCCTAGGCACAAACAAGACCAACTCATTCCACTCATGTCACGGGGTCGAGGTCCCCATCCAAACTTGGACTCCAAGCCCTCACACTTGAGACCCGGTCTCAGTATAGTGCTTAGACCTCCACCTTTCCCCGCCTCCAATCAGTCGGTCTGGAAAGAGCTGGAACCCGCGACAAGAGCGTAACGAGCCTTCCCGCTCCCATAAGCAAGTATGTGCTCAAGATAATAAGTCTGTGATCTGACTATCATCCACAGCAACGGACGGTCCTCAATCGACACAGGCAGAACAAGTGCAATCCGACAATCCGAGCCTCGCTCAAATGCCTAACAAAGACCAGATCTAAAGTACCATTCCTCCCGGTCTCCAATTATCATCCATATATATTCAATGTGATAGTAATATAATAACAACAATAATATCTTTCTTATCTCTCACGAGTGACAGGTAATCACTCGACTTCTACTAGATCCAATAGCATAGCAGTCTACACGATCCTAACATACTAGTATGACTCATAGGATAAGGATATATATATATGCAAGTGGTTTTATTCAACTCCTTAAAACTTAATGCACAATCATAAAATAAAGTGCAGAATAATAGGGGTTATGCACCGGGGCTTGCCTGGGTAAGATATAACTAAAAGTTAGCATTCCATCATAGTGACACGATCATCAATGCATCACCTTTTCCGCTACTTCAGTCGACTCCATGATCCATCGTTGTTCCTATTATGATATACGTGGATGCAACGCAGAGACGTAAATAATCAACGAAAACCAAAACTCTTAGAAATACGATTACACCTCGCAAGCTAACGAGATAGCTCTAATAACTAACGTGCTAGGCTGCATATCCACGTCGCCAAGTAATGCTTTGCCTCCAAAAAAATGTTTTAGTTCTAAAATCCCAAGGTATTTTGGTATTTTATTGATTAAACATATATTTTTGAACTAGGGCTCATTTAGCTACCTTAGCAAACTAATTATTATGGAGCTATCAAAAATTACAGTGAGCATCTAATAATGTGAGAAATTTACTGTGAAAGTTTTAGAGCCAACACTATCACCAACTTATCACAACAATTCCTACAAGTTTATATCTTATAATATTAAGCATCTTAAATTAATTAGATAACTCCTAAAAATATTATAAAACTTTGTGAACAAAATATACTAGCAGATAGATCATGATTTTAGGAACCTAACAAAATTAGTTTCACAATTTTTAGACATCTATATCATTTTATATTAATTATCAAAGTTCAGCTTAGAAATAAAAATGAAAAACTATTTCTATTTTCCCCGAAAAAGATAACCGAATCTGGCCCAACACGGCCCATGCGAGGTGCGGCCCGCGCGCGGATGCGGCCCGCAGCGAGGAGCCTGCGTATGCGCTGACATATTAGCAAAAACGCCCCTGGACTCTGAACAAAACAACCCGTAGTCCATGTTACTATTCCAAAAGACAGCACCTATGCAAAAAAAACCCTTGCACTCTCTCCTCTTTATAACGGCATGGTCCCTAGCCTCCCCCGTGCGCTTCAGCGCGGCGAGCGATGGCACTGGCGATAGCGCCGGCCACCCGGGACCCATGCTAACCTAGCTAAGAGGCCGAATCTCACCAAGGGGTCGACACGAGGCGATGGGCGGCGGTTGCATGAGCCAGGACGCCGTAGAAGGACCACTCCATGATGGCGGGCACCCTATGGCAATGGCGACGATGTTCTGCTGAGCCGCAGCAACAACAAGGCAGTAGGGGTAGCGGGTGAGGAACGACAACTCAGCAGTGACCTAACCGAGGTGCCGGCTCGGTCGAAGATGACCCGAGTGAGGCTGGTCACGTGCGCGCTACGAGGTGAACGGCGGAATACAAAGGCATGGCCACGTCAGCGGCGAGGTGGTGGCACTAGATATACGACTAGCGTGCACACGACGCAGAGGGGCTCAAGGCAGAGCTATTGGTGCAGCCAATTCGACGCGGGACTAAGTGGGGAGGACTGGCCATGGCGCGGGCGATGATGGTTCTTAACGGCGTGGTGGCGGGGCGAAGCTCCAAAATTGAGGCTCGACTAAGCTGCAGTCAAAGTGGGGTGGGGACGGTTGGAGAGGGGACGTGAGGACGGAGCAGTGGGCATAGCGAATTAATGGAAGGCGTCCTCTTGTGTCTAGGCGCTCTGACGCGGCGCAGCAGAGAGGTGGATAGGGGAGAAGCGAGCGGACGAGAGGTGGTGGGGACTCGGTCAGAAGCTCGGCATGTGCGTGCTTTGATGGGACGCGATTGGCACGACCGGGGCGGCCCACGGCCAAGCGCTAGCCGACGACCCACGCTTTTCGCCGCCGGCGTGGTTCACAGCGCCCGATTGCCATAAATGGCGAGGCGACGGCGACACGTCCTCGCGTCTTGTGACATCAAAGCGGTCGGCCACGACGCTTGTGCAGTGCGGCAAATGGCGAAAGCGATGCAATGAGGCACGAACGAGCGTGACGTGATGTGAAGAAGAAGAACTTTGCATCGATGGCGCGAGGTGGGTGGGCGACACGACGGTAGCGTACAGGTAGGGGCGCGCGCCGCTCGGGCAAGCCACAAGAACGACAGCGGTGGCTCTCTCGCGGTCGGGGTCGACCAGCCGGTAATAAAGTAAAGAAGCAGCGTCGCCTGTGCAGAAGAGAGCTTAACGCCTCGACGGCGCGCCCCCTACTACCGGTGATGACCGCGCCCGGCCAGAGGGCTAGCCCGTGAAACGTCTTTGTGGATTTAATTTTAATGCAACGACTACCACTAAACCATTGCCTCTAAACCGAAACCGACTTCACCACGATCAAACTGGTACATGAGGCTGCTCATCCGAGCTAAAACACCGCATCACCCTCTAACCCAATCTCTCTAAATAAATTGCTAAACTTAGCAATGTCCAGCTATACACAAGCTTGAAAATTTCTAAGTTTTTTTTGAGTTGAACTCTATTTCTAAGCTATTGAAAATATTACTAAGCAATATTATTTTTCAACAGCAAGTGTTTCATTGTCATCTACAAAGTTTGCACTTCCAACTTTATTTAAGTATCACACACATGTTCTATAGTATTTTTGCTTAATAAAAATTATTTTTAAACCCTACTTGATATACGTGAGCTATTGCATCAACATTGATTTAATATTTTTATTGATTATTTTAGGCTACAAGAAATTTATCAACACCTTCTATCACATGCATTATTACACAAACACGATGCTCGTGACATGATTTAGTAGTTGGTTTAGGACGTAACACCGATGGTGTTACACCTAACAATCGTACAATCAATCCAACGCAAACAGGCTACACGCCGACAGGACATAAAGGCTATTACTCGACAAGAGGGCCCGAACCAGTATAAATCGTTCGTCTCTTTGCGTTTACTGTCGAGTTCTGCGTACGCTGAAGCCCTTCGAACATCGTCTCGGATAACCACGTGACGAGTTGCCGGTCATCAAACACCGATAGATCTGAACCCGAACGAGAATCCAGACCCTACTAGACCATGAAGTACCAAGCATGCAAACCTAATTTTCAACCTGCACTTGTTTGCATGCATGCTGCTGCTGTTTGAACAGTAGTGTGCGACAGGGGCGGATCCAAAGGGGACTGTCAGGCAGCCCCTCTAATAAGCCTGATTTCTTTATTAGACCACGATTAATTAATATCAAATCATCATTAATCGCTAACTCTAACCCTAAATCTCGGTTATTTAGCAACTTGTTCCCTCTGCATCCGCCACTGGTGTGCGAGGAAGATTTCAGCCACAGGCGGCTGCGCCGCAGCGTAGAAAAGTTGAAGCGAACACTTCTGGCCGGCCTGAGGGCGTACGTGCTAAGGCCCCGCTTAGATTTCAAAAAAATTTGCGCAGTACCCATCATATCGAATCTTGCGGCACATGCATGGAGTATTAAATGTAGACGAAAAAAAAACTAATTGCACAGTTGGGTGAGAAATCGCGAGACGAAACTTTTGAACCTAATTAGTCCATAATTAGACACTAATTGCCAAATACAAACGAAAATGCTACAGTAGCCAAAATCAAAAAATGGATCTAAACGGGGCCTAAGCTAGTGACCCTGCAGCTAGAATACCTGCACAAACGATGAAGTGTGGTGTGGTCCAGTGGCTTGGATTTGTCTGAATAAACTACTACACACCACTGTACGCTTACAAGATCTCGTTGCAAATTGTACTCTAGGCGGCACAGGAGGAGAGAGCCCGGCCCGGTAGACTAGAGAGGGGGTTTTACAGGTTTTCGCGCTTGTCAGTTACGCGTGTATGAGACGGAGCACGATAGTGGGCCCCACCAGTGGTCCTGTCCTCTCTCTCTCCGATCCGAGGGCCAACAACGCCTATTTAACGCACTGCGCTCCGCGCTCCCAAATCCCAACCTCCCTTGGCTGGCCCCCAACCCAACCAAAAAACCCCTCTCCCCATTCCCATCTCGCCTCCCACATCCTCCGCCTCGCCGCGGCAGGCACCGCCGCCAGTCTCCTCCCCTCCCCCCCACTCCCTCCTCGACGACTCGATCGCGTGCGACGACCGAGGTGACCTCGCTCGCTCTCTCGCCAGGAGATCGACCCCGAACCGTCATGAAGTACGTGCTGGTGACTGGTGGAGTGGTGAGCGGACTCGGGAAGGGCGTGACGGCCAGCAGCATCGGCGTCCTGCTCAAGTCCTGCGGCTTCCGCGTCACCTCCATCAAGATCGGTAAGCCCGCCGCCGCCGCAGCCCGCGCGCGCGGCGCGTCTGTTTCTGATTTCTCCCCTCTCGGCACTCTCCGGTCAAACAGAAAAAGGTGGAGAGTAATGGCGGCCACGTGATCGCACAGGCCACGAACACCCGGCCTCCCCGTACAAAACAAAAGCCGCTCCAGCCTTTTTCTGGCCTCCCCCCACTCTCCCGTAGTCCCTCCCATGCGTACGTGTGCCCGTTTCCGTTTGGTGGTTCGGGCATAAACAACTCGCCGTCCGCCCTCGTCTTCGTCTCTCTGTCGAGATCGTCACAAATTGGGGGGATTTTTAACTTTTCGCCATCCTTAGGGATGGCACTCTTCGTTTGCCAGCTTTACGAGCGCTTCTACATAATTGCCAGTTTATCATTTTCGCTGACGTGCCGGGAGCCCAAACTTAGCACGGAAAATGACCTATTTACCCATGCGGCTTCTCTCCTCTAATCTCTGACGTGTGGGCTCCACACGTCGGCGTCATCTTCAACCTCTGGCCATCACCACGCAGCGAGCGGAGGAGGGAGCTCGTGCGGAGTCTTGGCCGCGTCGTGCAAAAAGTTAAAAATCCCCAAATTGGGTGGGCGTTCACACTTCACTAGGGTACCCACGTTGCTAGCTACTGCTAGGAGGACTGACTCCATTTCCATCGTAATGGGGGCCTGATTCAGATTTGGGCTCTTGACGGCGGTCGCCTTCGGCTGCTCTTGGATGTTGGATGTGTGGATAAGGCTTAATCTCATGTGGCATCGTTTTATTAGCTATAGTAGGCACTTGTAGCTTTCCATGGTTTATATGTTACACCCAATTTCTTTTTTCTGCTACTACATACTGCTACTACTATTGCCTTGGCCGGCTTGTTCCTCTGTTGGTACGTACCACAGAGCAATTCTACCTTTTCTTCCTCTCATGGTCAGCCAGCCAGCGATTAGCTAAGCCAAGTCGCCGGCCATTCAATCTAGCTTTCTGTTAAAAATAATCTCATGTCCCATGTTTCGTTTTTTCCCCTTTGAACCGCGATCACGTACTCGTCGCTGCTTTGTTGAAGTGGGCATCTTATCCTGTGTCAGTGTCACTGTCTGGGTTCCTTGAAGCACATGAACTTCTCAGGCGCACAGTTTTTTTTTTTTTATTGGGGTAGTAATACAGGTCAAATTTGCCATCCCGTGCTCTGGAATTTTGTCCTGGCCGGGAGTGTTTTTGTCTCTTCATGCGGGCCAAGTGCTGTGCACCTTTCATTTCTCGCGTCTGTCTCTCTCAATTTGCACAAAAACGTTTTCTACCCTGTCTCGTCACGTCCCGGCAAGACTTGCCCGTACTTGATTTACTGCAGGTTTCTCCCCGCTATACTTACGTGTCTTATTGCGGTCACTGAAGTCCTCATACTACTTTATCTTTTTTGACACTCGTTTTTGCTATACGCATGTACGTTGATCGAGCTAGTGCCGTGGAGACTTCTGACTCTTGAGTTTTATTTGTTGGGTGCTCTGGGAGATGATGCCGTTTCTGAACTTCTTTCGCTGTCGCTGGTGTGCAGATCCATACCTTAACACCGATGCCGGAACCATGTCTCCGTTCGAGCACGGCGAAGTGTTTGTTTTGGACGACGGTGGTGAGGTGCGATTCATCACACTGCATATAGTAGACCTGTACGTACTTTCTTTTCCCCTGTACGTCCTTTCTGGTTCACTGTACACCGATCGCCACATTGCACTACTGGAGATTTGAGGCACCAATTGTTTAGACCAGTACCAAGTGGTACACGTCAGCGGCTGCACGATAGCGCCACATATCGTCCTTGTTTTGCACTTCAACCGTCATTGACTTGTCGTGAGTACTAGCGCTTCATACACCTGTCCTGCTGTCCATTCTCCTCTTCTTCAACGTGTTAGAACTGTGCTATATTTCTCTAAGGCTTCTTTCATGGGCTAACAAGACTTCACTTTGTTTCATCCCTTCTTTTCAAAGGTGGACTTGGACCTTGGAAACTACGAACGATTTCTGGACATCAAGTTGACTCGTGACAACAACATAACCACGGGGAAGATCTACCAGGTGACGGGAATAAACAGCCTCTCTCAAAAGTCCACACAAGGCTTTGAGATAATTTGCCAGTATATTGTCTGTTAAAGTTGTGGCTTACGCTTCACCTTGATATTTATGGACTAGGAATATTCGGTGATTTTTTCTTTTGCACCAAGGTTAGGTGCTCCTTTACCTGAATTTTTAATGGAACCCACAAATCTTTTGTGATGTTGCTTTTTTTTCATTCTAAGATCTGTTACAGCTCAATAATGCATGTGGGAAATCATCTGGTCCTTAGTCAGCCACTGCTGTAATGCTGTCTCAAGCAATTGGTTGGTAGAAAGCATATCATCAGGTTAATAGTGCACCAATCATAGGCTAGGACCCATTGTAGAACTGGATGCTTCCTTTACTGCATCTGCAAATCCGTCTGGAGGTCTATTAGTGGTTGAAATTAAATATGTGCGTTCAGGATTTATCATAAAGTATAGTAACACATAATATGAATTAGAATAGATAATGAAATTCTGATACTAGAAATATGGTTTAATGAAAATGGGTAGCTGTCGTCTATCACTTTGTAGTCGATTGAATTTAGGACCACCGGAGCATATGTTTCTGTATACCTTATGAGATATCTTGGATTTCATAGTATAACTGTTAATAACCTTTCTACTAATGTTCAAACTGCAGTCTGTCATTGACAAGGAGCGTAGAGGAGATTACCTAGGAAAAACTGTCCAGGTGAGGAATGGTTATCAGAACAGAGATTTCCATGCTTTTCTGTAGCCATAGAAAAGGTGCCAATTGTTACAGTGAGTTTAAGAATTAGAGTTAATTCTCTTTATCAGGTTGTGCCGCACATCACAGATGAAATACAAGAGTGGATCGAATGTGTGGCAATGAATCCAGTTGATGGCACAGAAGAGCCAGCTGATGTTTGTGTCATAGAACTTGGTGGCACTCTAGGTAAAAAAAAAACATTCTGTATCATTGCAGGAAGTCACAAAATAGCATAAGTTTGCTCAATTGTTCCCATACCTGTAAGTATTCCGGTGCAGGAGACAAAATATTTTTGCCACATAACGACAGTGGCATTCTTGATGCAGGGGACATTGAATCAATGCCTTTCATTGAAGCATTAGGTCAATTTTCATACCGTGTAGGTAAGGAAACTCTGTAAATCTCCATAATCTTTTTCCTTGTTTTACTTATGCTTTTACTCAAGGATGTTGATCCGATGTCTATTCGCTATTAGCATAAATTGTTTATTGATGCAATCTTGTGAAAATTGTCAGGGCCTGGAAACTTCTGCTTGGTGCATGTTAGTCTTGTGCCAGTTCTAAATGTAGTTGGTGAGCAGGTAAGCTTCTGCTGATTTTGGGGCACTGTGTTACTTTTTATATTCCAAAGATATTATTACTGTTCAGAAACTAATGCTGTTGTTTCCTCTATTATCTAGAAAACAAAGCCAACCCAACATAGTGTTCGTGGACTTAGAGGACTTGGACTCATGCCTGATATTTTGGCATGTCGTAGTACACAGGTATACTGTATACCACATAACTTGTATCTGTATTTTCATTCTGTGCCTCCTGAACCTTTCAATGCTGATGGTGGCTGTATAAATGGTTTGCTCTGTGCTTCTTGGCAGCCACTTGAAGAACATGTGAAAGTGAAGCTCGCACAATTTTGTCATGTTCCGGTAAAAATGTTGCCTGCTCAAGAGTTTTTTTTTAATAAATCAAGTCCGCATCATGCAACAGCAATGCTGACTTTGATTTTATTTGGCAGCTACCAAATATCATTAATCTCCATGATGTCACGAACATTTGGCACATCCCTTTGTTGCTCAGAGTATGTCATATGAAATTATTTGTATGCATGATTGCCAAATTCTCATTTGACATGGTTAACCTGAATTCTTTTCTCTCTTTATAGGATCAGAAGGCCCATGAAGCTATTTTGAAAGTGTTAGACCTTCAGTGGTGTGCCATTGGACCAAAGTATTATAAGCTCTTCCAGTTGGCTTCATTTCTATGAAACTTACATGTATTATTTCTTCATGTGTGCAGTGTGGGTAAAGTTGCTCGAGAACCCCAATTGTCTGAATGGACTGAAAGAGCCAGCAGATGTGACAGATTGAAAACTCCGGTTGGTTTGTTGATCATTTTAACTTTTGTTTCCAATACCGAATTGACTCCTAGCTTATATATAACAACCAGTGCTTGATATTATGGCATGAAAATCCTTTTCAGGTTAGGATTGCTATGGTTGGAAAGTATACTGGCTTGTCAGATTCCTACCTATCTGTTATCAAGGTGCCATTACTGTTTTATATCTTATAACACATACAGTTTTGAACAAAACTAGTGGGCCTTATCTGTTTCTTCCTCTTCTGCCAGGCTCTTTTGCATGCGTCGGTTGCTTTGGACAGGAAACTTGTGGTGGACTGGGTTCCTTCCTGTGATCTTGAAGATTCTACAGCAGAAGAGGTCAGTTTTATTTATGCCTTATCAATTCTTTTCTATATCTTAGAGAATTAACTGACAATAATTGGGAGACTGTCGCATTGCAGACTCCTGATGCCTATGAAAAAGCATGGGAGTTGCTAAAGGTAAGCATAGAATGCCTTCTTGTGACATGCCACTAGCCCACTATATAGAAAATTGAATGAATTTTTACACCTCAGGGTGCAGATGGTGTGTTGGTGCCAGGAGGTTTTGGAGACAGAGGAGTCCAAGGGAAAATTCTTGCTGCAAAATACGCGCGAGAAAAGAACATTCCTTATCTTGGCATTTGCTTGGGCATGCAAATTGCAGTGATTGAGTTTGCACGTTCTATCATGAAGTTGCATGGTGCTAACAGCACGGAGTTTGATCCAACCACAAAAACACCATGTGTTATTTTCATGCCAGAGGTAATTATTTTGCTGCAGTTGCTAGTGTAGTTACCTAATTCCTTTGTGTTGAAAATTAGCATGAGTTTTAGTGCCAACCATGCTCCTCTTGTTCTGCAGGGATCCAAAACCCATATGGGGGCAACAATGCGCCTTGGATCAAGGAGGACCTTTTTCCAGGTCACTAACTGCAAATCTGCTAAACTGTAAGAAGCACCTCCCACATCTTTCACCATTGTTTCTGCAGGAGTTATACATCTGGCCCATCTTTCACCACTTGATTATCTATGGTCTATGGAGTACTTGGGTAATCGTCTGAATTCTGAACTGCCTTAGGTATGGCAATGCTAGCTACGTTGATGAAAGGCACCGCCACAGATACGAGGTCAATCCTGATATGGTCCCAGAATTTGAGAAAGCAGGGCTTTCTTTCGTTGGCAGGGATGAAAGCGGTAAACGCATGGAGGTATGATTGCCAACATTTTTCATGAAGATTAACCATGTACTGGTCTCATATATTTGATTTGTCACATGCAGATTATCGAACTACCAACTCATAGGTTTTTCGTTGGTGTACAATTTCACCCTGAATTCAAGTCAAGGCCTGGCAAGCCATCTCCGCTTTTCTTAGGTAAGACATCCTCAAACTCTACTTATTTTGCCTGCTGAAGTGTTCTTTGCTTTTGAAAGAAATTTAAACGCTTGAGCACTTAATGAAAATCTTGGCAGGATTGATAGCAGCTTCATCAGGTCAGCTTGATCAACGTGGCGTTATTATCAGTTCAACAGGCAGAAAGCTAAAAGCCACTGAAGGAGCACCGAAGCTAAAAGCTTACCAGAATGGGCACCTCATGAAGCCACTGAACGGCCTGGTGAACGGGCACTATTCAACAACCGGCAATGGTGCTATTCCCATCTAGCAGCACAGAGCTGTGAGGCGCTGCGTGTTTGTTTGAGATTTCTCTCCTACCGTTTTCGCTTGTTCTTTTCCTTTCCTTGGAGCGCGTTCTTCCATTCTAGCGACAAGGCAGCCATTTCCGATGTTTTAACGTGGAAGCATTTGGCATGCAAGCTGTCGCATGCATTAAGAGGCAAATTTAGCAGTTTAGCTTAGAGTTTGATTAGTAGTAGTAATCAGATATGCTGGTTTATTTGTTCGTTTGTTTGCTAAGATTACAAGGGCTGGTGATGTGCAGCTAGCTGTAGTGTAGCCTGCCGTGTCGCCTTATTTGTACATTGTAAAACAACTGCTACTCTCCATTGACTGACTGAATGGATGAGTATAAACGTATTGGACCAACATGCTGAGTATGGGTTTAATTTATCACAGATAGAAAACAGAGAAATCCGAAATTTCAGTTCTATCAGTGCAGAAGCCGAAGAAAGGGTTTATCACTTTTTTACACACGCCAGACAAACAGGCTACTCCGTATTGTCTAGTGACATGTATTCCATGCGTTACAAATTAAAAGATGTTTTGGTTTTTCTAAATACATAGTATTTGCTATATATTTAGATATACACTATGTCTAGATGATAAGGAAAAACAATGTAGCTACAAAAGTCAAAACGTCTATAATTTGGAACTGAAGGAGTAGTACAGATGACAGTACATCGTCTAACGACGTCCAGCAAGGGTGGCCACAATGTGAGCACCAACCGGACGTCCCGGCAGTGTGGAGAAGGAATTAGGTTTTCGAAAAAAAAGTGTGAAGGAATCGGTGGATCATTTGATGGCCAACATTGTGGCACTGTGTGAAAACACGCACCATACTATCCAAGTGCGAAGATGGTGCACCGGGCGATTGGTGATAGTCCTGCGTTGATCTTTCTGCCTAACATCGAATCATTCGCTGCCCTACAAAATTGTTTTTTTTTCATCTAACATCTCGTCGGGGTGAGCGGGCTATATATATGGGTTCTGACTCACTTGGCTGATGTGGTTGGAGTGCCCCAAGATTGCTACAAGCTAGAGCAAATGATTCTACACTCTATCTACCCTCTCAAGTGTACATTGATCACATCCAAGGCATATGATAGTCCTAAGTTTTCACCTTTATATAAGGGTTAGGCCTTAGAATTTGAGATCTTAAGTGATTGGATTGCTATACTTGAGCACTTGAAGTCTTAGTGACTTTCCGTCAAAGGCAGTGACCCTTCTGGAGTCAATCCTCCGAGCTTGGTGTGGAGTGGCGATGACTTGGAGTACGGGGACGAAGAGACCCCCCTCCTTAGTGGAGAAGATTCGTAGAAGACGACAACAAGATGGCCGGGAGAGTTGAGCGATAGTGGTGAGCCTTAGTGGCTTGTGGCACTTGACTTGATTGCACAAACCTTTGTGGCGAGCTCAACACCATGAATGGGGGAAGGCTTCATGATCAGGAGCATACCTTGGTGGAGTTCAACGTGGAGAAATTGCATTTTGGCAACCGATGCCACTGGAAAATTGCCTCGTCTCCGGGAGTTTTCTCTTTTGATTTGCTCTTTACTTGTTGCTTGACTTGTGTGGCATTTTTCTTTCCTAGATTAGAATAGACTAGCTAGTAGGATTGAATTTAGGTTGCAAATTTTTTTATGAGTTGGGTAGGTAGGGCACATTGAAAAAAAAACTAAGGTGCATATCATGTTTGTTAAGTTTATGGTTTTTATAGTGCATTTCAAGAAAGCCCCACGTTTAAATCTTTAGAGACCCAATTCATCCCTCTCCCCCTTGGATCTTTTGGTTGTATTCATATGCTCATGGTCTCTTTTCAACTGGTATCAGAGTTGGAGCTCATACCTTTCACAAGGCCAATTCAATTCCATTAGCAAATTTGTGAGTATTGATATGGAAGCTTATTGGTGGCCCAAATTATTGTAAAAATGAAAAGGACAATGCACTTTGAGTAGGTGTATTGTAGTTGCATTGGTTAGTTAATTAACCCAGGATGCTGATTATGTTTGGACTTTATGATGTGACGAACCCCAGCATTCCATCCAAGGTATGCTTTAATTGAAAACAAGGTTTTTCACTTTTGATGAGAAATATCTCGAACTGCCCACTCCATAGGGTCACATGAAGAATGATAAAATAGTGTTTTAGGAATAAGATAGGGACGAAGTTGGATATTCTATTTTATCCTAGTGGTGGGGGCACTCAGGGACGGAACGATCCTATTAGGGAATATTCCACCTACATGTGAGACACCTATCGTGGGGGCAAGCATGGCGGGATGAAGAATGGATGTTGGGCATTCGCCTTTGTTTTTCTTTTATTGGAGGAAGAAGCATGTGGAAGAAGAGAATAAATATCAGGATGATAGATGGGATCCGCTCGTTAGGAAAGTTCATCCTAGATTTAATGTCCTCAAACCAAACACAAATTAGGGATTGATCTGTCCCCCAAACCAAACACTGAGATGGGACGATTCTATTCATACCTTTCTTCAAATCAAACACAACCTGAGTTCCAATCAATTAGAGCATATTTCGATAAAAGATTAGCTGATTTGAGTGCTCATCAATGACACCAAAGAAAGTTTTGGTAAAATCATTTTCACAGAACCTTGCTACATAATACATATACGATGGGTGTCTTTAGGCTTCCTAAAGGCCTTTGTTATGATCTTATGGAAATGATTCGACTTTATTGATGGGTGGAGAAGAGGAGAAAAAGAATACTCATTGGGTCTCTTGGAAAAATTTGGTGCAGCCAAAATGTTGGCACGGCAGGTTTGGCGACTTTTAATCTTTCTAAAAGTGCAATCAAGCCCTAATTGTGGGTTTTAGTGATAATGACCGCGTAATTAGAGAACTAATGAGATTTATCGAGATGGCAAGCAGGGAATTTATATTCGATGATGCTACATGAAACGGAGGATCCCCCAATTATAAATGTAGATGGCTTCAAATTCAAAGAAGTTTTAAATTCTTTTATACATTGAATTTGAGTATAGGAAAAGCCGTACTATAAAGGAGACACAATGCTTAAACTAATATGTGCTACCAAGTGCTCATATAACCACATGCATTCTCAGATTCACAGCCAAGACAGTTCACTTCACTATTACCCTCGCTGTCTTGCGGGGTGTGAGCTCCGACTCGCCCGACCCCTTAGGTGCGAGCTTCGACTCGCCCGACCCCAAGGTCGCGGGCTCTGGCTCGCCCGACCCTTTAGTCGCGGGCTTTGGCTCGTCCGACCCATTTGGTTGTGGGCTCCGTCTCGCCCGACCCCAAGGTCGTGGGCTCCGGCTCGCCCAACCCTAAGGTCATGGGCTCTAGCTCGCCCGACCCTTTGGTCGCGGCCTCGTCTCGCCCGACCTCTTGGGTGCAGTGTCTGTTGAGGGCTGGGGGTATATATACATTTTCCTTTCCTCTCCAACGGCTATCTACGATTTAAGTGACCGTTAGGAGCTGGGGGGTATATATATCTTTTCCCTTCTTCCCCAACGGTCACCAACCAAACCTACTCTCTTGTTCCTCACTTCAGCACGCCCAAAACAGAGTAGGAGCTCTCTCTCTCACTCCATTGTTGACCTCAAGCCCTTAAGCAAATCCATTAATTTCTCCATCAATCCTTGAGGGATAAGGGTCCAAAACTTGATTAGAGATCAGTTCCATTGATTTTGAACTCTAAAGAGCACTTGGTTCATGTTTTGGCCGGCACTTGTGTTTGTTACTCTTGAGCTTGGCTCCTAGCCGGCTAGTGTGTCGCCCGTGGAGCTTGCCAACTTGTGTGGCAGCCCCGGGAGGTTTGTAACCACCTCTTGCAGCAAGTAAAATCACCCCTCATCTGAAGAGTTCACTCTCTTGACTTGAGAATGAGGTAGGGTTGTAAATCCCTAAGCCTTAGTGGCATACCTTAACAACGTGGATATAGGCAAGCCTTGGTGGCGAGCTGAACCATGGGATAAATCTTTATGTCATCTTGTGCTTGCGTTGCTACACTTGTGTTCTTGTTGTTGTTAAGGTGATTTCTAGGATTGAGGCTGATCTACTTGTGTGTGGTGTTCCCACCATTTTCAGTTGTCGATATGTGATCTACTACCCTGCAAGAAGGTAAGAAATTTACACGATCTAAATTTCGTTGGGTAGATTTTGAACTATGAACTAATCTCTCCTGCAGGTGCAGCAGTGCTATGCTCACAGAGCGGCAGTGCCACGGGTGAATTTGACTTCTGTTTGAGTTGAATTTTACAGGCCTATTCACCCCCCTCTTGGCGTACCAGAGATCCTACAAGTGGTATCAGAGCCGGTTACCTCGTGTGCGCTTCACCATGTGAGGTATGGAGCCCTGGGGAGGATCCAGTGTTGTGAAGCCCATCAACGTCGATCCGGAGGATGTTGGGCTGCATGACACTGACAGCAGTGAGCTTAGCGCCTCTACAGCGAGCAACTCTATGCTCCCGTAGCTAGAGGCAACCGATGCCGAAAAAGCTCAAAATGAAGAAGAAAAAGAGCAGCTAGAAAAGATAAAAGAGAAGCAAGAGAGAAGAAGAAGGAGCAGCAGCGGTTAGAAGAGAAGAAAGCAAGAAAAGAAGAAAGAAGACTCAAGATAGAAGCTAGAAGAAAAAGAAGAGAAGCAAGAAAGAAGAAGGAACAAGAAGCAAAGGCCTCCAATGCATCTTCAAGTGAGCTATCTAGCAGCTCCGAAGATGGTGATGATGATGAGTCCTACTGAGTGCATAGCAAGAAGGACAAGAAAGGAAAGGGCAAGAAGAATGACGACAACAAATATGTCACCGTATCCTTTAACTACTCTTCTATATCTATGACTAACCATGATCGCAAGTCTTTCATCAATGTGTCTGTGTGCAAGTTACCTCATTTCGATGGGACTAACTTTGCCAGGTGAAAACACTTGATGAGAGCTTATCTTATAGGTCTTCATCCCGGCATTTGGGAGATTGTTTGCAATGGATTTGAGCCATCGGTTGATCCC